TGGGTCCACATCCACTCAGCTTGGAGTTCCGGGCTCCCTTCCCCAGAAACCCGAGGCGCATTGGATATGGATAGAACTCTTGCCCGCACCGATTACTTGTTGTTGCAACGGGTCGTTGCCTCGGGAGCACGGGCCTAACACTGTTTTGTTATAGCGGATCGTGGCCTCCAGAGCGCACTCCCATTATTGGTCCAAGGAGGTGTTTGGCTTCGGGAGCACGGCCCACTTGTTTTTGCACTGTCCGTGGTGTGGCAGCGCGGATCCATTGTTCGGCGGCCAGCCCTGGGGGGAAGTGAAAGCGGGCGGGCCTTCTCAGAAGGCTTGCCAATCCCCGAGCCTTCTGACAAGTTTCAGAGCCTGTCCCAAAGACACCAACATTTCTCAGAAGGCCGGATGACTTCTGAGAAGCCCCGCTGCCTTCTGAGAGTGTTTTCTCCTTCTCACTACCCCTATTCGGCCCCCCGCTGAACTGTTGATTGCAAGGTATTGCTGCGTCGGGGGCGTAGACCCATGGTTTGCTTGAAGCAGTCGCGGCCTCGGGGGCGTGGACCAGTTCTTGTTTTGCAAAGGGTCTTGGCCTAGGAGGGGTGATCGGATTCATGATTGTTTGTTCGATGTTTTGTAGTCCTGGGAGCGCAGATGCATGATTGCATTCGCCAAAAAGGATCATGGCCTCGTGAGAGCGGGCTCATTGTGCCAGATCCGAGTCCTTTTGTTTTGCATTCGTCTCGCCTAGATCACTGATGCTCCCCTCCCCTTCCGTCTCGTCCCCTCGCACCTCACCTCCGTGTTGCCTCTTTGTTTCTTCTTTATTTATTCCTCGCTTCCCCTCCATGCTCGCGCTGGGTGGTCACAGGCTCGCAAATGTCGCCACTTGCATGGACTCATGGGAGGTCACACGGCTTGTTGTCCTACGCAGATCAAACTATTGTCGTCACCCTCTCTAAAAGCTGCCAGGAGCGCAGTTGCCGCCAGTTCGCTGTCCCCCTGGGATGTCCAGCAGGGTGGCATCATACGCGGGTCAAGTTATCTCCATCGCCATCGCTCTTTGCTGCAAGGGTCCCAACTGTCTCCTCTTTAGCCGCACCTCGGGAAATTCCAGCAGATTGGGGTCTCACGCGGGTTGGAGTAGATCACTTGCCATGACTGGGTGTCTGCGTGATGCAAGGCGCGCAACTGCCGCCCGCCATTTTGCCGCGCGCCTGGGAGGTCCAGTGTGGTGGCTGTTTTCTTCACCGATCAATGGATCTTCATCGCCCTCGCTAGGTGGTGCCAGCAGCGCAATTGCCGCCGACTCACTGCGGCTCTAAAGGAGGTCCGGCTGAGCCTTTGGCCACGCATACCAAAATATCCAGCTGCCTGCGGCAAGCCCCGTCACCGCGTCTGTGCAACAGCGTAGCAGGAAGGAGGCTGAGCGTAGGGCCAGCGTAATTCCGACGAGTATTCTGCATTGGGGCGGGTCGTGATTCCGACCTCGCCTTCGTCCGCGAGTTAGGGAGGATCAGGAGGAGGAGGAGGAGGAGGAGGAGGAGGGCGGAGGAGGAGGGGGAGGAGGAGGAGGAGGAGGAGGAGGAGGAGGATAAGGAGGAGGAGGAGGAGGATAAGGAGGAGAAGGAGGAGGAAGGGGACAGAGATAGCACGAGGAGGAGGACGAGGAGAAAGCTTTTTGGGGCCTTCTGGGGCCTCTTAGGGGCCTCCTTGGGGCTTCCTGACAGCGTCTTGGGGGCCTCTTGGAGCATGGGTCATGGGGCCTCTTTTGGCTACTTGGGTCGTCTTTGGGGACTCTTGGCCCGGCTGACGCCTATGGAGGTCGCCTTGGGGGGCTCTCTGGGCCGCGTTGGTGCCCTCTTGGAGGGATTCATGGCCGTCTTGAGGCCCCCATCAGGGGCCCTTTGGGCGATCTTTGGGTCCTCTTGGGCCCACTTCAGGCTCTCTTGGGGGCTTCTCGGGCTGTCTTGGAGCTATGTTGGATGCCTCTTGGAGGCTTCTTGAGCCGCCTTGGGCGGTCGGGAACCCGAACAGGTGAAAACCTCAACATGTGACAAAATCCTGAGGAACATCAGTGGTTGTGGCCTCCTCGGGCTCTCCAGGAGGGTCTCTTGGAGACCTCTTGGGCTGTCTTGTGGGATTATTGGTCTGTCTTGAGGCTGTCCAGGGAGCGTCTTGAGCCATCTTGGGCCATCTTGGCCCATCTCGGTGTCATCTTGGCTGCCTTGGACGGCCCAAGAGGTCTCCAAGAGGCCCTCCAGAAGAGCCCTTGACGGCCTCGTAGGCCGTCTTTGGGCGATCTTTGGGGCCTCCTGGGCCGTCTTGGAGCGTCGGGCAGCCGAACAGGCAGAAACGCTCAAACCTGTCAAACACCAGCGGAAAATCAATCCATGTTGCTTCTTGGGGCCAACACCATTGATGCCCCTGGCATGCTTGGGTTTCCGGCCGCCCAAGACAGCCCAAGAGGCCTCTCTGGGCCGTCTTGTTGCTCTTCTGGAGCGCTTCAAGGCCGTCTTGGGGCCCTCTTGGAAGCCCCTTGGGCAATCATCGGGTCCTCTTGGGCCGACTTGGGGCCCTCTTGGGGGGCCTCTTGGGCTGTCATGGAGCTGACTATCTTGGAGGCCTCTTGGGTCGTCTTGGGCGGTCGTAAACCCGAACAGGCGAGAACCTCAAAATGCTTCAGCAACACAAGGAAGATCAATGGCTTTGGCCCCGTCGGGCGATTCAGGAAGATCTCTTGGAGCTGCTTGGGCCGTCTTGGGGCCTCTTGGAGCCCTCTTGGGCCGTCTGGGGGGCCTCTGATGCCATTTTGAGGCTGTCTTGAGAGGCTCGTGAGCTGTCTTGGGCCATCTTGAGTGGCTTCGGTGTCGTCATGGCTGTCTTGGACGCCGTCTTGGAGACCATCTTGTCCGTCTAGGAGGCTGAACAAAAATCGCCGGGGAGCAACTTCAGGGGGGACGGTGTTTTAACCCCGCGTGCGGTGCAGGGGGGGGTCGGCCCTTGGAGACATTTACAAGCATTCCCATGTGGACAACAGGAGCATTCTAACACGCCCACTCCGTGCAGGCACGGTGGCAGGTTGTCCTCTTCTCGCTGGGTGCTGCCAGACGTGCAACCGTCGCCAGTGTGCTGCGCCCCTGGGATGTCTAGTGGGCTTGTGCCTTACGAAGATCAAGATACATTCCTCTCCCTCGCTGGGTGCTGTCCAGCATGCTCTGGCGCCGTTGGTGGGTCCAGATGAGTGGTGTCCCACGTAGATCCAAATCTATTCCTCTCCCTGGTGCCTTCTTGTGCCGGTCCTCGTCCTTGCACTTCGTGCCGCAGCTGTCCCATAGAGCGCGTAACCCGTAGACTGCCCAGTTGTCATGCAGGGTCCAGTGCCCTTTGACACCTTCGTTCGTTTTGGATCGGCCCGTCGATGTTGTCGCGTGCCTAGGATGTGTTGGGTACGTTCTCGAGCAATCTACGCCGGGCGTGGCCTCGGCAGGTCGGACCCCATACGTTGTACTGAGGTGACGTGGCCCTCTGGGGCGCGGACCTGTTGTTTGCACACGGTGTCGTGGCCCTCGGGGCGCGGGAGCGCGGGCCCGTTGTTCTTCATTCGGTCTGGGTGCCGCGAGGTTCAGGTCCACTGTTCACTGCAATGGGTCACGGCCCCGTGGTCGCGGACCCACGGTTTTCCACGCCAAACCGTGGCCACAGGAGCGCCAGACCGTGGACGCAGGAGCGCGGATCTTTTTTTTGGGGGGTGATCGGGATCGCGTTGCCTCGGCAGAGCAGGCCAGTTCGTTATGAATTCCTCGTGGCCTTGGGGGCGCGGATGCATGGCTCTTCCCTCACGAGGGACGTTGCCTCGGGGGGGGGGCAGTCGCATTATCTTTTCACGCGGGGTCGTGGCCTCGTCAGCTCGGACAACTTGCCATCTTACAAGGGCCTGGATGTTCCGTTATTTGCTCTTGGGCGGCCACCACGCATTACCTACGAGCCATCTCTGTTACGTATCTGAAACGGCGCCTCACTGACGAGGTGCTCGATTTGCCAACATCGGAAGGCCGCACTGAGCACCATGGATCAAAGAAAGAAGCGTTGGATCATTAAGTCATGTGCCGCGCGGCCTGGTGCCCCCTGGTTGGGGAGGCTGGACAGTGCGTGTACACGTGAAGACGCTTGTATGAGCATGCTACACATCTGTATGCCAGCGCACGTGTAGATTAGGGGCCAAATTTGGTAGGACAGGCTGAACATGTTTCCACGCGTCATTGGGGCCCACTGCATCATTGATACAAGTCAGAGGCCACGGCTGGCGCTGCTCGTCTGACAGAACTGTCGGAGGTTGTCTGTGGGCCGTTGGTTGGTGGTCATCTTTGGGTAGCCATGGTGCGATCTCATGCCGTCTTGAGTTCATTCGGTCGGGCTATGAAATCGTCTGGAGGCCGTTCGGGGGCCATCTGGATTTCCGGAAGCAAATATCATTCCGTATCATTCCGAGGAAGCCATCATGAGGTTTCACGGATTTTGGTTCCCAGCGTTCTCCACGAGATGTTTTTCGGAGGCAAGCTTTTGGATATCGGGCCACCTTCGAGGCAACCGTTTCCTGACTCGGGCCGTCCTGCCATCAGGGTTATTACTGGGCCCTTGTGGGGCATCTCAGCAGGCGCTTGGCCCGCTGGCAGGATCCATTCTGCAGAACGTCCGGGGGTTGTATTTCCCGATGGTGATCTTGGCCGTTGGAGCGAACAGGAATGCGATTCGAAAGGCCCAGGTGAGAGGGGAGCCAGCCCATTGAGGGATGGTCTTCTGATCCGACTGGCTCCTCGTGCTGACACTGAGCACGGCCAAACTTGCCCATGTTTGCCGTCTCCGTGCTCCTGCGCTTTCTGCGCCTGCGTAGCCATTCTGGCTCCAGGCATTCCTTCAGCTGACTTCAGGTTGCCAGCTGGCTTGACAGCGTCTTCCCACCATGGTCGTGGCTTGGACCATCATTGTCGGGCCTGCGCTGCGACGCAGGCGCCATGGCAGAGGCCGCCAATGAGGCAGAACCGCTTCCGAAGTGGGTCTGCCCGATTTGCCTGTACGACAAACTGCCACGCGGCAGTGCTGGACGCAGGGCGCACATCAGGCGTAAGCACAATGATTATTTGGACGTTGGCGTAGTTCTGAGTTGTTCCTGCAGGCACGGATGCGTCAAGTGCGTGCCAGAGAGCGTGTTGGTCTCTGGCACGCCTGCAGAAGGTTCCAAGAAAGCTGAGCCGCCTCCATCGAAGAGAACGAAGACAGAGGCCATGACATCCTCGTTTGTCTCTGTCACCCCCCTATTATTCCTCTCCGTGGTGCGGTTGCCCCCCCTCGCCGACAGTGCCCCCCCCGCCCCCACATGCAATTTGTTGTCTCACGACGCCATGGAGGACCCGTGCGACATCGATAACGATGACGATTACGACGACGACGACGAAGACGACGACATGGACGACGACGACAAGGACGACGACGACGACCACGACGACCACGACAAACGGCGACGACGAAAACGAAAACGACGACGACGAAGACGACGTCATGGACGACGACGGCAGGCGACGACGACGACGACGAAAACGACTGAAACGGCGACGACGACGACGACGACAGCGACGACGACGACGACGACGAAGACGACGTCCTGGACGAGGGCGACGACGACAACGACGTCATGGACGACGACGACGACGACGACGACGACGACGACGACGGTGAGGGCCAGGACTGGGCTGCAGGGCCCAGGGCCCTGGTGCCTCTGCGGCACCATCGTGGCGCCATGGCGGAGCGCCTGGGTCTCCTCGGCCCCTCTCCCCGCCTCCACGGTCAACCCCCCCCACCCCCGACGGGCAAGACAAATTAATGGGTGCATCCCCCCGAGGGGGATCAAAGTCTGCGAGGGGGAGAGGAAGGGTGACAGGGAAAAATGCAGGGGCGCAGACTGTACACCAAATAACCAAATGAGGAATCGGCCTGCCAGCAGGTGCCCCACGGAAGCGTCTTATCCCAAGATGGCCTTGTGGGCCCGCGGGCATCACAGGGCACTCATAGATCGCCAAAGAATGTGGCCCACGATTTTTCATAGCAGGACTTCTTATCGTAGATGCCTCGTGTGCGACCACGGAGTGGGACACCTGCTGTCGAGAGGGGGAAGGGAATGGTTCCCCCAGAGGCCGCCTCCAGCACGGCGGCTGACATCGTGCAAGCGACGGCTGGGAAGCCACAGGCGGAGGCGCCGACTGCCCCGGAGGCGACGCGCCGCCGCCCCGCGGCCACTGGCCGGCGCAGGCCAGCCCCCCCGGAAGAGACGGATGACAAACCCGAGGCGAACGAGGATGGAAGGCAAAACAAAGAACGCAAACGCAGACACCGGGAGTTTGCGTGGGGACCGGCGCCGCGCCCCCCTCGGCGCCGCCCCCGGCGTGCTCCCCGCGCCATGGAGGGGTTTCCAAAGTCGATCCCAGAAATCCGCGCGGACTTCTGCCAGTTTATGTGTATGCAGTCTTCTTCTCTTCGAGAGGAGCTTGACGTCGAGGGCACCGCGCTCAGCGCAGAGGTGTTGAAAGAGACGGTCGAGGTTCTCAGGGCTTCGGACACTGCAGCTGGGGCACTTGTCGCCGCGCAGCTGCAGGGAGCAGCTTTGGCAGCTGGCGACGAGCCCGCAGGCGACCCAGCACAGGGCGCGGCGCTGGCCATCACTGCGCCAGCATCTCGAGAGGCTGCCTGGATCAACGAGCTCGTCGCCAGCGTCCAGATGACAACAGCCAGCTTGCCGCACGGCTTCAGGCTCGGCGTGGTCTACGGTCCGTCGGGCAGCGGCAAGAGCCGCCTGCTCGCAGCCCTGAGTATGACGAAGCCGGTCTCGGAGGAGACCGTGGCTGAGCAGTTCGAGGCCGACATGGCCGTGTGCAGCCACCCAGCATTTGGCCATAGCGAAGAAGCCATTAACTTGCTGAGCGCTGCCGGCCTCAACAAAATCCCTGCGTGGGTGAGGCCGCTACACTCCATCTCCAACGGAGATCGAGGCACACAAAGCGGCTGAACCATAAACTTTCGAAGCTCCGCGCGGTCTTCTGGCGCGCGGAGCAGAGCAGGGGCCCCAGCGCCGATCGAATAGCGAGCGCCGCTCGGAGCTCCGAAAGTTCATGCTTACGCAGTTGTGTCCTCCACCAGGAGAGCGCTCTCGGGCGCTGCTGGCAGTGACCCTCGCGTCGGCCTCGGCAACCCTGAGCATCGACGACTTCGCCTCCAACACGGACGCGGCGTCCGCCGCGAGCACGGCCCGCTCCCTCGCCGCATTGGTGAGGCAGCGAGGCTTGCAGAGCGTCTGGGTAGCGACCGCGAACAGGCAGGTGATCCGTCATCGAAGACGCCTACGGTGAATCACCGCCGCTCCCTGCCTTTGGAAAACAAAAAACACGCGGCCAAATGTTGGGCCGACGCCTGGCAAGGCTAGCCGAATATGTGTTCCCCCAGCCGTTGTGGAGGAGAGCCAGAGAAAGGAGGAGGAGAGGGAGGAGAGAGTGAAGGAGGAGGAGGAGGAGGAGGAGGAGGAGGAGGAGGAGGAGAAGGAGGAGGAGGAGGAGGAGGAGAGAGTGGAGGAGGAGGAGGAGGAGGAGGAGGAGGAGGAGGAGGAGGAGGAGGAGGAGGAGGAGGAAGACGAGGAGGCATGTTGAGGCTCTCTTGGAGCCTCCTTGGACTTTCTGGGAGCTTACGGGTGCCCCTGGGAGGCTCTTTGGGGCTTCCTGGGGTCTTTTGGGGGGCCTCTTGAGGCCTCTTGGGGATCTCTGAGGGGCCTCTTGGCCGTCGGAGGCCGTCTTGGGGCCCTCTCTGGGCAGTCGTGGGTCACTTTTTGAGCGCTTGAGGGTTATCTTAGAGGTCCACGGAGCCATCTTGGGGCCGTCTTGGGCGCCTCTTGGGGGCTTCCTGGGCGCCTGTTGGTGGCTCTCTTGGACCGTCGTGCGGGCCCGCTTAGCGGTTTGTTGGGCCGTCGTTCGGCAATTTGGGTCTTTCTTGGGGCGTCTTGAGGGCCTCTTGAGCCGTATGCAGTGCATTTTGTGCCGTCTTCAGGGCCGTCTTGGAGGCGTCTTGGGACCATCTTGAGCTGCCTTGGGACAGTCTTGGCCGTCCTTTAGAGATCTGTGAGACCATTTTAGGGCAATATTGACTGTCTTGGAGGCGAGTTTTAATCCGAACCCTCCTTGGTTGGGTATTCGTTTTGAATCGAGGACTGTGGTCGCATCCTCCTCCCGCATCCCTCCTGCCTCTTCCTGTCTTGTCTGCAGGGGGCTGCGATCTGTGAAACTGACGCCACTTTCGAGGCCTGCTGGAGGCTCCAGCACAGTGACGTCCTACGCAGACCCAAACGGGACTTCTCCATCCCTGGGGGGCTGTCATTGGCGAAGTTGTCGCCATTTTCGAGGGCTGCTGGGGGGTCCAGCAGAGTGACGTCCTACGCAGACCCAACCGGGACCTCGCCATCCCTCGGGGGCTGCGATCTGTGAAACTGTCGCCCCTTGCGAGGCCTGCTGGGGGGTCCAGCATCGTGACGTCCTACGCAGACACGAACGGGACCTCGCCATCCCTGGGGGGCTGCGATCTGCGGATTTGTCGCCTTTTTCGAAGGCGGCTGGGGGGTCCAGCACAATGACGTCCCACCCAGACCCAAACGGTACTTGACCATCCCTGGGGGGCTGCGATCTGTGAAACTGTCGCCACTTGCGAGGCCTGCTGGGGGGTCCAGCACAGTGACGTCCTACGCAGATTCAAACTAGACCTCGCCATCCTTGTGGAGCGACGATCTGTGAAACCGTCGCCACTTTCGAGGCCTGCTGGGGGTGCCAGCATAGTGGCCAACTGCCGCAGATTCAAGATGTTGATCTCGCCATCCATGCGGGGCTGCGATCTGTGAAATTGGCGCCACTTTCGAGGGCTGCTGGGGGGTCCAGCACAGTGACGTCCTACCCAGACCCAAACGGGACTTCGCCATCCCTGGGGGGCTGCAATCTGTGAAGCTGTCGCCACTTGCGAGGCCTGCTGGGGGTCCAGCACAGTGACGTCCTACGCAGACCCAAACGGGACCTCGCCATCCCTGGAGGGCTGCCATCTGTGAAACTGTCGCCACTTTCGAGGGCTGCTGGGGGGTCCAGCAGAGTGACGTCCTACGCAGATTCAAACTACACCTCGCCATGCCTGGGGGGCTGTCATCGGCGAAATTGTCGCCACTTTCGAGGGCTGCTGGGGGGTCCAGCAGAGTGACGTCCTACGCAGACCCAACCGGGACCTTGCCATCCCTCGGGGGCTGCGATCTGTGAAACTGTCGCCCCTTGCGAGGCCTGCTGGGGGGTCCAGCACAGTGACGTCCTAAGCAGACCCAAACGGGACCTCGCCATCCCTGGGGGGCTGCGACCTCTGAAGCTGTCGCCACTTGCGAGGCCTGCTGGGGGGTCCAGCACAGTGACGTCCTACGCAGATTCAAATGGGACCTCGCCATCCCTGGCGGGCGACGATCTGTGAAACCGTCGCCAATTTCGAGGCCTGCTGGAGGCTCCAGCACAGTGACGTCCTACGCAAACCCAAACGGGACCTCGCCATCCCTGGGGCGCTGCCATCGATGAAACTGTCGCCACTTTCGAGGCCTGCTGGGGGGGTTCAGCATAGTGACGTCCTACGCAGATTCAAACTAGACCTTGCCATCCCTGGGGGGCTGTCGCCACTTTCGGGGCCTGCTGGAGGGGCCCAGCATAGTGACGTCCTACGCAGATTCAAGTGTGATCTCGCCATCCCTGGTGGGCTGCGATCTGTGAAACTGTCGCCACTTTCGAGGCCTGCTACGGGGGCCAGCATAGTGGGGCCCCTCGGCGGACTCAAATGGAACCTCCCAAATGCTGGTTGCAGAAATGCATACGTCCATGTCTCGTCATCACCCCCTTATGAAGTCGCCCAAGCTACTCATGCCCCGCATTGCGCAGCGGTTGGGTACGTCGCCAGGGTCATGTTTGTTCTTTCCTTGCGCGCCTTTGCGGGTCCTTCCAGATGGCCGGCGGGTAGGGCCGAAGGCCCATTCGAAATTGTACCAAAGCACCAGCAACGATCCAACGTGTAGCACGCAGTGCACCCTTGTGGCAAACCAACAGGGGGGCGGCGGACGAAGTCGCCTACGGCGAATCACCGCCGTCCCTTGCCTTTCGGAATCGCCCATCTGGCCGAGCGTTGTGGCAAGATTTCTGTAAAGCTATCGGGCCATGTGTTCCCCCAGCCGTTGTAGAAACCCTTCGGGGAACACTTGGGGGAGGATGGCGGGGAAGATCAGGAGAAGGAGGAGGAGGACGAGGAGGAGGGGGCATCTTGGGAGCCTCTGGGGGCACTCTATGGGCCTCGTGGGAGCTTCCTGGGAGCCTCCTGGATGCATCTTGGGGGCCTCCTTGGGCTGCTCGGGGGCCTCTTTGGCCGTCTGGGGCCCTCGTGGGGTGCTCCAGGGCCGTCCTGGAGGGCATCTAGGGCGTCTTGGAGGCCTCTTGGGCCGTCCTGGGGCCCTCTTCGGGGCCGTCTTGGGGGCCTCTTCGGTAGTTCTGAAGCTATCTTGGAGGCCTCTGGGGCGATCTTGGGGCGATCTTTGAGGGCTCTGGGTCGTCGCGGGCCGTCGGAAGGCCAAAAAGAAGCAAATGCCAACATCCTTTGAAGAACTGAAAGCAAATCAATGATTTCGGCCTCTTGGGGCCCCTCTTAGGGGCCTCGTGGGCCGTCTTGGAGACCTCTTGGTGGCCTCTTGGGCCGTCGTGGGGCATCTTCGAGCCATCTTGGGCCGTCTTGACGGCCTCCTGGCCCGCCTGACGCCGTCGGAAGCCGTCTTGGAGGCCTCTCTGGGCTGACTTGGGGCCCTCGTGGCGTGCTCCCGGACCGTCCTGGAGGCCATCTAGGGCAGTCTTGGGGCCCTCTTGGGCTGTCTTGGGGATCTCATGGGGCCGTCTTGGGGGTCTCTTGGGCCGTTTTGGGGCAATCTTGGAGGCCTCTTGGGCGATCTGGGGGCGATCTTTGGGGGTGGCCGTGTCGGGCCGTCGGAAGGCCGAAAAGAAGCAAATGCCACATTCCGTTGAACATCTCAGGACAAATAATGATTTCGGCATCTTCGGGCTTTCCTGAATGACCTCTGGGAGATGTCGTGGGCCGTCCGTCTTGGAGGGTTCTGGGGCGACTTTGGAGGCATCTTGGACGCTCTTGGGCCGTCTTCGAGGCCATCTTGGACCATCTTGGGCGAACTTGGAGGCCATCTTAGCAGACTAGGAGGCCATCTTGGAGCCATCTGGGCTAGGACAATTTTTGCGACCACCTGTTCCGGGTGGCCAGCGGGACAGGCCGAAGCCCCAGGGGAGAGCTCTTTGGGAAAAAGAACCAACGCCAAATCGTCAAACGTTCAGCATGCAAGGCACCCCTGATAAATCAACAAGGGGCGGCGGATCAAAGACGCCTACTGTACGGCGAATCACCGCCGTCCCCTGCCTTTGAAGAAGCGGCTCTGTGGCCAAACGTTGGACCCAGAGGAGGATGAGGGGGGGATCAGGAGAGGGAGGAAGAGAAGGAGGAAGAGGAGTAGGAGGAGAACCTCTTGGGCCGTTTTGAGCTGCCGGAAGGCCGAAAGGAAGCAAATGCCCAAATCTTTCAAACTTTGGAAAACCATGACCGAGACCTCGGCAGACTCTGCAAAGGACCTCTTCGAGGCCTCTTGGGCCGCCTAGGAGGCTTGGTCGGGGCCTCATGGGACGAGGCAACACCTCAAGGGACAATCTTTTACAAGGGGAACCAACACCCAGCAATAATACGTAGTACGCCAGGCATGCCCTGTCTGGTCGCATCTGTCACTGAACGCGCGGGCTCGAGCTTGACGTAAAACATCGGAGCATGCGTTCCCCGAATTAATCCGTAGGGCATTCGGGGAACGGGCGTGGGAGAAGGAAGATCAGGTGGAGTGGGAGAAAGCGGAAAATGACGAGAAGAGCAAGCGGAGGAGGAAGATATCGTTTGTGGACCTTTTGGGTAATTTTTGGGCGCTCCTGGGAGCTTCCTGGGGGTCTTTTGGAAGCCTCTTGGGGGCCTTCTTGGGGCTCTCGGGGGCCTTGGGGGGCTTCTTGGGGGCCTCTTCGGCCATCTTGGGGGAGTCTTAGGGGCTTCTTGGGCCGTTTTGGAGGCTTCTTTGGGAGACTTGGACGCATCTTGGGCCCTCTTGGGCCGTCATGTAGACCATCTTGGAGCCTCATGGGCCGTCTTGAAGGCCATCTTGGACCATCTTAGGCGAACTTGGAGGCCTCTTCGGGCCGTCTTGGAGGCTTCTTGGGCAGCCATGAGGTCGTCTTACAGGCCTTGACGGTCATCTT